GAAATGCTACCTGGACTGGCCGGTAGGATGTGCGACTTTATGACCGAGTGACGGACTCCAGTGGATGGATCGTCAGCAATGTTGCTGTCTATTGCAGTGTCTTCAAACGAAATATTCAGGGATTTTAAAATCAAATCCATTTTCGTATCGAGCGACGCAATAGAGGCGAGTTTAGCTATCGCCTCCTCAACATTTGCCAACCTTGAAGCCAGCGCAGAAAGTTTAGCACCGGTGACAGCTAAAAAGTAGGTGAGCACTTGATGATAGCATTTTGTACTGGTCACCTTGTAGGCCGGTTCAGCTTTCGTGATACCAGCGGCAGCAGACATCACACTGAATACCACCAGATAAATCTGTTACTGGCTCTGAACAGTTAACCTGTCCGCAAGCTGCAGTAGACTCATTGGAACATTGGAATGTAGAGAGCAGAAGGAAAAATCCTTTGTCAGCTCCATCGCCTCCCGTTCGTCACAGGGATCAAGGTGGACATTGCAAGTCGGTTCCAATGGAACCGCTGCATTGGACACAAGAAGCAACAAGATCCGAATTTACTCAACAGGTAAGACTCCAATTGATGTTTGAAACATTCCTCCGACTGCGCATCAACGACACACACAGGTAGATTATTCCATTCGTTCACTACTCTGGTAGACAGTGACATCACAACGGACCCGAAGTCTCCTTTGTTTAAACAATTTCCAATGGTGACCCCGAGTCGAACTGAAAGAATTGAGNNNNGTGGGCAGCTATAAGACGCCTGCGTCTACAGAGGGACCATGGGTGGTTTGCGCTGCATCACCCACAGCTCCAGTCACACACACTATATCCAGTGTAAACCCGATGGAATAAGCCTAGAGGCATGTGGATGAGGGCCACGTTTCAAATACGGAACCTACCCACACTCCTTCACAGGCAAACACAAGCACGCTGTAGTTCGGAATCAAGCGCACAAGTGGCGGTGGCTTGACCCTAGTCCGCTCCACACTGAATGCATGGAACCGCTCTTCGAGCCATTGAGAGCACCTCAGGCTTAACACTGCGCTGGACCGAGTATGTCACGACAGGCATATGAACGGGACCGCAGTAGCATGTGCGGCGGAGAGAGTACTGAACAATTCAATGTAAATGAAATTGACATAATAAGAATGCCTTCGATTCTGTTCCAAATACTTGGGCGGAAATATGTGAACGTCCTACGTGCTTTATACTTGTACACTACAAGCCGCGCCGGGGTCTACGATGACCTGTCTGATAGCTTTCCGACCACAAGTGGCTTTCGTCAGGGTTGTCCGATTTCCTTATTTTTTGTTCATTTTCGTTGTGGATTCTATCATGAAGTGTTCCCTTGCAGAATCTCACGATGTAGGCGTTTAGGTCCTTTCTGGCGAAAGGTTAGCTGATCTTGCTTATGTGGACGATATCGTCTTGCTTTTCGACGATGTTGGGGCGACACAATCCACCCCGAATAGCCTGTCTAGAGTGGTCCCATTATTCGGTATGCACTTCGCACCTTCAAAGTGCACAGTGTTGCTGCAGGACCACCAGCCATTTTATGACCGCTTGACGCTTGCTAACGAGGAACTCGAGCTGGTTGACCGATTCACTTATCTTGGCAGCTGCGTCCCCAACGATGGGCGCATAGAAACTGACGTGAGCTCACGCATTGCAAAGGCCAGCACTGCCTTCTTGAACCTGCGGCATCTTTGGAGGCAGAAAGGAGTTTTCCTCCTTCTGGTAGGGCGTGTATACAAGGCCACAGTGAGGGCCGTTCTGTTCTAGGGCAGTGAAACTTGGCCCCTTCGGTCTGAAGATCTGATGCGCCTTCAAGTCTTTGATCATCGTTGTCTGCGAAGCGTTGCTGGTGTCGGATGGCACTAGCGTGTCCGCAACGATGATGTACGTAGGCAAGTACTAGGTAGTGGTAATCATGATAGCTCCCCCGTTCGACAGATAGCACTGAACAAGTTGCTTTGGCTTGACCACGTGTTACCTGGGCCTGGTCACCGCTTACCTAGGATGGCCTTGTTTAGTCTGCCAGGTGTAGGGTGGCGCAAGGCTCGAGGTGGACAGAAGTTGACTTGGCAGCGGGAAACGAAGTCACTGACGATCAAACTGGCTGTCGTTGGTCCATATTGCCTTCCGGACTGGAATCCATGTGACTAGCCTTGTGCTTGGCTCGAGACTTTACAGGACGGTTCGCAACCGACACCATTGGCGCGTCTGCTACCTTCTTCTAGTCGGTTTGTCTGTTTAAAGTGCGTTTGGTGCTGAGTTATCTGCGGGGTAATGGCTGATTATGACGCGGGTCAGTGAAAGCTGCAAGGATGCTGTCTTGCCGATGCCGCCTTATTTTGCACGGTAGCCAGCTGTTTGTGACGGTATGTTGTCTACACAAGGTGTAGGCGCCTTGACCCTGAATGTTTGCTTAGGGCATTAAGGTTTTCAGGTAAGTCCCCCTTCTCTCCCTCTTATTCTTTATTTCATAGGTCATCATGGTTGTACGGCAGTGAAGCATCAGTCCAAATGGCGGACGTACTGCTGTTGTTGTTGATGATGACCGAAGACCCTTTTCACCGCTTTATGAAGGTCCGTTCCAAGTCATATCATAGAAATCGAAGTACTTCGTTCTGGATAAAAACGGATCCAAAGTCTTTGAGCATTGATCTTCAACCCGCTTACATTGAGCCAACGCTGGATAATTCAGAATCAACCTCAAGCACTCACAGTACTCATGTTACTAGGTTGTCGCCCATTGACAAACGCCTGACTGATCCCGAAACCTCGGAAGCCCTGTGCCTCCCAACAAACGATGCAATCCACACGTCCAGGTCGTGTTGTTTCATTCCCTACAAACTAGCACAATATGTTTCATGAACGTTATATCGAACGTTGCTTACCAGCGCACGCTCTAGAGAAGAATTCTGTGGCGGTTGTTGTTACATTATGTTTTATCTTTGCTTTTATCACTTCCGTTACTGGCCGTTTTGTACCGTTTGTTTGAATTACGGTATTTTGTATATACATCTTCAACGCGCTCGCGTCGTGCGGGTTTTGTTTACTGCTGCCTGTGCTTGTGTTGCCGCCGTCCTTTTAGTAGTCGGATTTATATCTTCGAATGGCTTATCAGCCTCTAACAGACGGTACTTGAAGGAAGGATTATAACGCGTGTGCTTGGTCGTTCCTCTGCTGTTAGTTTATGCCTAAGATTGCTTTTTGCCTCAGAACTCAAATTTTTCACGTGGCGGTCCACTACATATTACAGATAGAGGGTCCCAATTCAATTTCTCCTTGTTTCGCTATTTGAACCGTTTACGCGGTTGTTCCCACCTATGAACAGCTGCCAATCACCCAGCTGCCAATGGCATTGTCGAACGTTGCTATCGCCAGCTTAAGGCCGCAATTACTGTTTCTCAGTCGAACGCACAATGGTCAGTACGTCTGCCGATCATCCTGCTTGGTATTCGTAACACCATTGAAGAAGAAATTAGCTGTTGTCCTGCATTACTGTCGGACTTCCCTTAGAAGTGGTGCTTGACTCAAGCGTGACTAGAGAAGTTTATCTGGCCTGAGGCAATATTACAGCTTAATTCCTCCAACACTACCTTGTACCAACCATTGGAGTCAACAGGTACACACGGATTTGCGCACTTGCGCCTTCATTCTCGTGCGTGTCGACTCCGTCCGTAAACCTCTGATATCGCCTCACGAGGGCCTCTTTAAGATCGTTGCCCGGAAGGAGAAGTGCTTCGTGCTGGATAGAAATGGTTATCAGGATAATGAGAGTATCGATCGTTTGAAGCCGGCCTACGTCGAGACGCGACCACTACTGAAACCCACAGATATTCGTGTCACCGACCGTCCCACCTTCCCAAGTACGCCTCCTACTCAGCCCATGTGTGACACCTCTCCCATCTTCCACCCCCGAAGCAACTCTGGGTATAAACTCGAACTCGCACTACCGAACACTCTTCGGATATACATTTGTTCTACCTTCCAGCGTGGCGATCTACGATAAATGAGACAAGTATCGAGCGTTCGTTTTAGTGACTCACGCTCTAGGGGGAAGTTCTGTAGCGATTGTACAATTCTCTTTCCAATTGTACCTTCCTCCTCTCCATTATTTATTATAAATTTTGTTTTAACTGATTCGCCTTCTGGTTTTGGCTACGCTTGTTGTGCTGTCGATAGCCGATCTGCTTGTCTCGGTCATCGATCATCGCATCTACCGCGCCGAATTATCGTACTGGCTAGTCTCGTCTTCGGAATCGGATTGTGCGACTAATTAATGACCTACCGACGTACATGCTTTGTCCGAGGTCGGATCTAACATTGTTACCTTAGACTGAGAGTTCTTTCATATAGTTAACCAATTTTGGTTTGGTTTTTACACATAAATGTATCTTGCTGTGTTCACTGTGACCGTAGTGCTCCCTTTCGAAAAACTGTGCCCCAACAACACATAATCCCTGAAATCAGTGGGAAATGATAGAGCTGACAAAATATTTCCTTTCTACCCTCTACAAACCAATGAACAGTGCACCAAACCAATTTCTCTTTCATTGATTGAGCGCGTCAAAGTGCCACTATAGCAAGTCAGAAGGCAAGATGTCGTCGATCTCAACCTAGGATACGGTTATCCTTTCTTTTCTTTACCTTTCCATTTCATCTGTGGTGTCGTTGGTGTTACCATCTCGCCATCCATTTAGTCACCTCAGACTCGGCCTTCCATCGGCAACTGTGACAGCGCCGTCCAGCTCGCCACGGGGTGTTAGTCAAGCGCACTCTCCATTCAGCTCTGACTTTTACTAGGTGGTTATGATGAAATTGTCCATCCGTTTGTAAAGTGTCTGTTTTGCCTTTCAGCCCCATCGATATATTACGGCCCCCCGTAGGCCCCGGATACGGAAGCCCTCAGAACCCTCGACCGGACGCATACTACAGTTGACGTATCGTGAACAGGTCGGTCTCTCCAGTGATCAATATCACATATGTGATTCAAGATGAAGGTATCTGGCTTTCGACCTTGTTGCCTAGCTCATCAAGCCCGGAATCGTGGAAAATATTCGCTATATCTTTACATCCATTGGGATCTATACCTTAATAATAATGCTTTTTGGAGCACCATTTTTCCAGTGAGTACCTGTTTGTTTCATGCAGTTTGCAGGCAAATTTTAGAAACAGTTTCTTTGGCTTCGTTACTCACTTGCTTCACAACGGTTCCTTTCATTGCTTTGGATGAAATTTCGATCCAACGCATCAGGACTGTTTATTCTTCTCCGAAGTTAGTTTATTTTGGTATATTTGCCCTGTTTGACTAGAAGATGGAGCGTCGGCGAATCCATCAAGTCCTTTGCTCATGTCAAAATCCATTGCGGTCCGAACTCATCAATTCTATCGTTGATGCGAGCCGACCGTACTCATGCTTCTATGAACTATGATAACCTCTGTGTACTTGGTAGGCATTATGCGGGAGCGTTTGTACGGGAAACCTCGTTGCACGGCATTAAACTGGTTTCCAGATTCCCAGAGGGTTCGTGCCTAGCTGAGTTTAGCATAGCGGAGACGGAATTCCGTAGGGTACTGCAAGGGCTGAACGTTTCTTTGACATCTAAGTCTGACTTGACTCACCCAAAACTGTTACATGAGTTAGCTGGTATAATGGTGGTACCGCTTGCTATCGTGTTCCAGGAATCACTTGATATCTGTACACCACCTTCCGAATGGAAGGAAGCTATCATCTATCCCATCTTCAAAATTGGCGACCGGGGTCTGCCTGCTAATAACAGGCTACTTAGTCTGATGAGCGTGATAGTCAAACACTTGGAGACACTGAATAGATTTAATCTACTCAGCACTGCAAACGGATATTCCGGAAGGGATTTTCTTGCCTGACGAATTTATTGGTAGCTCTTGAGAGTTAGACTTATGCGGTCGACAGTAGCCATGCACTAGACGTGCTGTTCTTGGATTTTTCGAGAGCATTTGATACGGTACCCTATCTGAGGCCATCGCAAAAGTGATTTCTACGGTGTGTCTAGTCGCACTCTTCCCTGGGCGTCTGCATTATCGTAGCGAAGAGAGCTGTGTGTACGCTTGGGTCGCAGCCCATCATTTACGCAGTCTGTCCTCAGTAGTGTACTGCAAGTCTCTGTCCTTGGAATGCTTCTGTTCACTATCTATATGAATAACCTACCTACGGAGCTTGAGGTACCGTCGCCATTGTCTCTTGATGACATGAAGCTGTGGAATATTGTCGGTGTTACTGCGGACTCTGAGGCTATTCGGCATACCTCGGATAGGCTCTGGGACTGGTCTACTCAATGGCTACTGTTCATAAATCAAGCATTGTTCCATCCTTCGTATTGGAGCAAGCTGCCGCCTTGAGGTACATAGTCGGTGGGGTCAAACTCCCCCGGCCATCCAATCAGGTTGATTTAGGCGTCGTACAATCTCCTACTTTACACTCGGATGACAACTGGAAGAAGACCGCAAGTAGAGGGTACCCTATGTTGTGGCTAATACGCCGTTCCTTCAGTATCTTAACGAACGACATCTTTGTGACAATCTTCTCAGCTTTCGTTCTGCTTCATCTGGAATATTACGTCTATGCTGGCTCGCCTTGCCTCGTTCGGGACAAAATGAAGCTAGAAAGGGTTTTACCGGTTGGTACAGCGATCGCTAATTACTCTGGGAATGCATTCAGTGCACTACCGATGGATTTGAAAAGGCAATCCCAACCTACCGTATCTTAACTGCGAAGGTTGGCCCAGAATTGTTTTGACTATTCAGTCCCGCTAGATTGTGTTCTCCGCTGACGTTCCGTGAAGCTTGACAAACCGCAGTCTGACCGGATTAGGTCTGCAACTCAGTTGCCACGTCGGGTCATTGAGCGCTTTAACATGCTTCCGGAAATTGTTATCTGGGAATCTATGTCGAAGGGGTTTAAGCATCAACTTGATGCACTTGTGTGTCAACAGGAAACCTCATCCTTTTCCTGACTCTCTTCCATCTTCATACTCCGATTTCCTTTTCGGTGTCTTTCTTACTCTGTACCTTCGGTTTTTCCTCTTATCCTTTGCTTAGCTGATACAGCAAGAATTGCTATTGCAAGAAACGTGGCCAGTAATTGGTTGACTTAGGCGTCGTTTGGGTGTTTAGTTTTAGATCCATAAAGACATTGGAACACATCGGCTCTGTGATGGGGACTGGAAATGCTGGTGATTGGAAATGTTGTAATGCCAATCGGACGTCACAGGCCAGACCGATAAGGAGTGAGCATGTTGCCGGAAGCAGATTGGTCAGCCAATCACGAAATAGTTGGCCCGTTATCGCGTCCAGCCTGCAACCATTCACTGAACGTGCCATCAGGCGAAGGAGCGCATACTCGTGCACCCTTGAGCCAAGGCTTGTGGCATTGGACCGAGGGAAGAGGCGCGCGGACCCCATCCCGCCAATCGTACATCCACTAAAAAAAGTTAAGGTGTTTTTAGACAGAGTGAACGTGGCGAGCAAGCATAAACCAATGAAAAAGGAGTCAGCGACACAATGCAAATAACAGAGATGAGCCATTGAGACGGACTGTTGTAAATAGTGTATATACTCTATAAATATTCGAGCGTAATATTAATAAACGACTTCGTGATCGCGGCCCAGTCTGCTTGCTTCCTCGAGGGCAACACGACATGGCGCCAGAGGAGATGAAGCCGACGCGCCGGAACCCACTCGCTTTTGGTGAACAGCCGTCGATCACACTGCCGACCGCTCTGCAGATGACTGAAAGCATGCTGCTAGAGAACTGGAGAATGTGGAAAGCGAAGTGGAGGGATTTCGTCACCCTGACCCAGTTGGATACTCAACCAATGGCGTACCAGTTGGGAATGTTTAGGCACGCTGTGGGTGATGAAGCCAGGAGGGTGCTCGAAACATTGGGGCTCAGGGAGGTAGGTGAGGAAGTCGAACTTTCAGAAGTGCTGAGAAGATTCGGGGCGTTTTGCGAAGGACAGATAAATGAAATGTATCACAGGTATTTATTTTTTGTTCGTGATCGATCCCCAAGCGAATCGTTTGAGACTTACATAACAAAACTGAAACTGTTGGCGGGTAACTGCAACTTCTGCAATTGCATGCGAGACTCCTTGATACGTGATCGTATTGTCATTGGCCTAAATAATGATAATCTCACTCGGCGCCTTCTGAGACAAAGGAACCTGTCTTTGCAACAATGTGTGGACGTCTGCTTGAGTGAAGCAAGGAGGGCGCAGCAGTTCGAGCATGTGAGAGCCGAAACAAACACCGATCTGTGCGCGGTATCCCGAACCAGCAATTGTCCGCCCCAGACACCCGATGGACAGGGTCCAAATTGTCAGTTTTGCGATCGTGTACATCCAAGAAGAAAGGAGAGCTGCCTAGCTTGGGGTCGAACGTGCACAAAGTGTTCCAAGTAGAATCATTTTCCTCGCTGTCGCAGATCCGCTAAGGTCAGCCCAGTAGTCGAGAGCATCAACGAACAGTTACAAGAATTTTCGGTAAGTAACTTGGAGAATCGTGGAGAACACAAGTGTGTTTTCGCGACGCTTTTGATTCGAGGACGACCGGTGCGCTTCCAACTGGACTCAGGGCTACTGTCAACATCCTACCTACTGTGTGGGAATGACATGTGACAGGACGCAGAATTGCGTCAGAATGTGGAATGGTCCAAAGCTGCTACCGAAAGGTACCGCCACCTTGAAGGCCATCAATCCGAAAAGCGGTACAGAATACCAAGTTGATTTCATGGTAATCTCAGGAGGCCTTATGCCCATTCTGGGTATTGATTCTATTCAGAGTCTCGGTTTTGTCTCTTTTAACCATGAAAGTTTCGTCCATTCGTGTGAAGATAACATAGATATTGTTGATAGCTGCCCAAGCGTGTTTGACATGATCGTAGGGGAATTCGAAGGGTGTGCTCATTTATCTTTAATCGAATCCGCTAAGCCGGTAGTGTTGTCGACCAGAAAGATGCCTATTGCCTTACATGAGAATTTTTTAGATGAGCTGCAACGTCTTGTTAGTTTGGGTGTAATAGCCAAAGTTGAGGAGCCGACCGATTGGGTTAGCCAGGTGGCGATCGTTACCAAGAAATCTGAAGAACTACGCGTGTGCATTGATCCAAAGCCACTTAACGCCGCACTCAGGAGGCAGCGTTATACGCTACAGACGCTAGACGACGTACTTCCGGTGCGATCCAGAGCTAGAATCTTCACAAAATTCGACCTTGCTTCTGCGTTTTGGCATGTATTACTTGATGAAGAGTCAAGCTACCTGACCACGTTTGGGACACCTTTCGGGCGTTTCCGCTGACTTCGTTTACCGTTTGGACTGTCGGTATCTAGCGAGATATTCCAGAAACGACTGGTGCAGACTTTAGACGATTTACCAGGAACGTTCTGTGTAACAGACGACGTTTTGGTTTTTGGTCCTACGCGAGAGGAGCAAGACCAGAACCTCAACCGCTTTTTGCAGCGCTGTTTTGAAAGGAACATCAAGCTGAAAGGAGAGATCGATTTGCGTAGGATGGAAGTGGTGTTTCATGGACACGTGCTAAGCTACGAAGGACTGAAACCAGACCCAGGGAAAGTCAGGGCCATCAAAGAGATGCCTCCTCCTACTGAAGTGAAAGCCGTTATCAGATTAGCCGATGTACCAATTCGAAAACTGACGCATAAGACTGAAAAGTGGCAGTGGGATGCAGAGCAGGAGAGAGCATTTCAGAAAATAAAGGAATTGATCACGAGCACTCCCGTTCTCGCTTACTATAACCCAGCACTCCCGCTCGAGATCCAGTGTGACGGCAGTCCGTATGGTATCGGAGCCGTACTCATGCAGAACGGCAGGCCTATGTACTTTCGCGGTCGGACGCTGACAGAGACCGCGCGTCGTTGCGCGCAAATAGAGAAAGAAAGGCTTACATTGGTTTACGCCTGGAGCGTTTCAATGACTATACGTTTGGCCTCAAATTCACCGCCTTGACCGACCACAAGCCCCTGGTATCAATCGCCAGTAAGCCGTTCCATGTTGTTCCACGCCGTCTGCAAAGGATGCTTATTCGTTTGCTGAAGTATAATCTAGTGCTTGCGTACCGGCCAGGATCCCGGATGCACATTGCTGACACGCTGTCAAGAGCGCACCTGTCAGACACGCCAGGAAAGGAAGAAGACCCAGATTTTGTCCATGCAACATAACTGATCTCCGTCACTGAGGAACGCTTGCAACATCTCCAACGATACACTGAGGATGACGAGT